CTTTTGTTTAATTTCAAGTCTTGATTCAAGGTTGATACACTGTTAAACCAAAGGAATACATAAAGAGTTAAGATACTGGTTTAGAAAACAGACAGATTTCTCTGTTGTGTAACCTAATTTCACGACACTTAAGACATTACAGTAAATCTACGAACAGCACACCAGGGTGGAGTGTCACGGTCTGTATATTCACTTTACAAAGTGGTGATTTTTCACACATGGTTTGCTTAGTCAATTTCATGACTTCTAGGATTGCAGCTCCAGTCCCCTGACTGTCTTTCTCAGGAGTATACAATTCACCAGGGAAATCTAATTACTCTGGACGGAAACAGGAGATAGCCAGATATGTCTTTATCAAGCCGGGTCAGTTCAAAACAAAAAACCTTGTGACCAACAAGAAAAACAAATCACAACTAATGACTCTTCTCTTCATGTATTTTCATTTAAACCACTGAGAAATAAAAGGTGTGCATAAGAATTCCTGCTGCTCACAACAACTGTAAACATTTAATTGTCTAATATCATGTTAAATTCAATCAGTAGTAATGTTTTTATGTCATCAACATTAACCTGATACTTTCGCTTCCACCATCTGTGAAAATGTGAATAATAAAGATCTACCTTAAACATTCAAATCACTTCATTTCCATCATATTTTATCTGCTTGTAACCATTTACAGAGACACGCCCAGATAAAAGAAAATTATAAAAAGAGAGGAAACTCACTCACAGTGAAGTGAAACTGCAAAAGTTAAATGTTTAATAGTACTGCCAGATTCGAGCAGTGAATGTCTAAGGATGAGGACAAAGGGGAGGCAAAGGCCATGAGCTCACCTGGGGTAAAATGAAGAACTCCACCTTCTGATATTATATTCAAGTCCACTTTAAATGACCTAAATGAATCACTTCCACATTTAAATTAGTTTTTTGTCAAATCCTCTCAGCATGAAAACACCAGAAGCAAGAATCGTGCTGAAACAGACTCAAGTTCAGATAGAAATGCTCCGTCAGCTGCAGCACAGTATGGGCACTAGTGCTGAAATGACAGGCAGTTGAAAGGGAATTGGAGAGGTCAAAGGTCATACAAGACCTCCACTGGCCTCTCCATCACACCACACAGGGGACCCAATAAGCAAATCCAATTTAGCTCACGCAGGTCCCAGAATCGTGTAAAAGTCAACAAGCTTTCAGTCAAATCTCACTCTCTCTCTTTCCCTTTAAACTCCTTCCTCTTCTCTCTCACCATCTTCCTCTTTTTAAAATCTCACTCTTCACCATCTTCCTGAGGCCAGAAACCTACAACCCCCTACAGGCCTGCTTCTAAAAACACCTACAGTATGTTCTGCTGAGGATGGAGTAGAGTTTAAGGTGTTGAATTTAAAATTTTAAATGTCTGCTGATAGCACTATTTAAACTCGAGAACACAATAATGCAGTGTTCAATAGAGTAGAAAGTGTTAAAGGAATTTCTGACTCTCCAAGGTGATTTAACAGCTTTTTTTTGGTTGAAACTTGAGAAGACTCACCAACACATGGCAGTTTCGTAACATGTCACCAATGTTTAATTGACATCTTTGGTTACAACAATCCAGAGAAAAACCTATTAACTTTGAGATCGCCACTTCAAGGGAAATCATAATAAAGTGATTGTATAACAGCGTTTTAAAGATGACAAACAAGGTTTGACTTGTAACATGTGGATATTGTTTAGTTTGACATGCACGGTGGGGTTCAAAAAGGTGGGACAAGATCTGTAAAGCTTTAGGGACTGCATTTAGTTAATTTGATTAGATTACACGATAGGAGAGTTAAGAAAGAGAATAAAAGGGGCTGAAAAAAGGTATGTGAGTGAGAGGGAGGAATTTAAAGGCCATGAGCCACTCAGGAGGACATATTATACCTTTGATTTTGACAGTAAAGATTTCCCCAAAACTTATTTGGTTGTTTACTTTTGTTCCATTTCAGTCTACCAGTAGGCCCACCCTACAAATTAGAGGGATCCACCGCTCATGACCTTTCATGGTGCTCCACTGCAATCACAAACTTCCAGTTACCAACAGGAATGGCTCGGCTGCTTCTTGATGGATTCGCAGAGCTTTTTCCAAAGAAAGGCATAGTTTCTCAAATCTTTGGTTTTTGTTTCTGTTCCCACAGACCCCAAGCTGTTGAGTTTCTCTTTCTGACCCTCTCCTTTGTTGTTTCTCTTCGTCAAGGTCTCAGTGGAGAAGGCTCTATGGATTGGTTTACCCTAAGCAATACTTGATTACCTCATAAATCAGCATTCCCACTCCCTCTATGAACCCTATTCTTTACCTGGTCCAGTATAAACTAAAAAAAAAAGGTAATCGTGGATATAACTTTATTTAGTGACAGTTAATTTACCTTTTTGATTTTCCAAACAGCATGTGCAACATTTCAGGAAATGTACTTGTGTTCTTTTCCTTTCATCTACAATTTTTGTCAATAATTTACCTGTGAAGTCATAAAAATAGAAATGGTTATCTGCCTTGTCATCCTGTGGGGCTCAGGCATGTGGTTTCCTGCAAAGCACTGGGAAAGACATCAGGTTTCATGCAAGGTTTTTTACCAACAAAGGATGCCTGCTAAATAATGGCTTGCATATACTGGTGCCATTGTGGAGTGTATTATTTTATACCTTATGAATGAGCTACGCTTCTTTGTCATTCTCAGTCATTCATGCTAACATATTGACTTTAAAATCCTGCAAATGCCACATAATCCGCAGGATTAGCCTTCCAATGGCACACTGTCAGAGAAGCTTAGCTGTTACAGGAGAAACAGGGAGTGATCAAACAATGAGTGCAACACCAAGAGGGCTTGGGCCACCAGCTTGGACACATGGGTATGTTTTGGATACAAAGGTAGACTGTAAATCCATGTAACCTACTTAATGAGATTACACATCTATTCTTTCTTGAAATCCAGCTGACATGAAATATGATCTGTTAAGTAATTTGCCATATAACTTATCTGAACTGTCAGAAATAGACCTCAGAGTCTGCTTATCAGGCCATGTGGTTCAGTATACATTGCCCCTCTTTGAAGCTGTTTCATGACACCAAAGACAAGTGACATGTTGTGGATATATATGCTAAGTGTCTTAAGTCTTCTGTAATTCTCGTCCAGCACTGTTATGAACATGCAGACTGACAGTGATGAATTACACCTCTCCACCCACCCACTAAAGACTCAGGAAGTGTCTGCTCTGCTGGTCTTCACACAGGATCCGATAAAGAAAGTGAGCACAACAGAGAGAAACCTGACTCCTTGAATCACTGACAGTGTCTTTCATGACACATAAAACTTCGGATTCCTAGTCAATGGGCAACCAGTCCTCAGCAGAGAAAAGAAGACAAGAGGTGATAAAACAGGAAAGAAATTAGCAAAAGATGTTAAAAATGCAGGAGCTGAGGTAGTATTCTAGGTAAACTAGAGCCATGCCATTCTTGTCTCATAGTCTTGGGGTTCAATTTTGCACAGAAACCATCTAACTTTACATTATCTCTTAATTGTTAGTAAGTACAACTCATGAAATATTGCTTTACTGGTAGAAAACAACGGTTCCTGGGATAAAGTTGAAAAACAGTAAATACCAAAAATGTAACAGTCAACCTGAGTTTCATGACTGGACACCTCATATAATTGGTGTAATGTTGCCCTCTAGTGTTGAAAAGACAAACTACTACAACTTACAGAGAGACCGCCCACATCTGAGCTGTGGTGACTGGTGAGGTTTTCATTGTCTTTACAAGGTACAACAACAGATATTACAGCTGTGTACTAAATTATGTGAACCAATGGCACTTACATGCATTTGCTCAGTTGAATGGATATTTTCCACATGGTCTCATGTTTGTTTTCATGGAAGTGTCTAAAGTTTTAAAAAAGCCTAATCTTTCCCTGCTTGATTTTAATGTACAGCTGATCAGGTCCAACTCTCAGCCTGCAAAGACCTCCTCTCAAACAGCATTATGTGAAGCGACTAAACTGATTATTTTTTCTATGTCTTGTTAACTCTCTGTGACTCCAGCCCCATTTCAAAAGTAATTAGATTACTGAGTAGCTGTGTCATAATAGTAGTTTGGTCACTTAAAATTGTAACTTGTGCTTAACTTTTTGTTCCAGTAACCTACACTTATTAGATAATGCACCTTGCCCTTGGTTAAAGTTTGTTTGTTCAGTGGTTCCCTTTGATGACATTATGTAATCATTGTGAAGCTGGGATTCAGAATATGGAAAGATTGAATGCTTGTCAAAAACCAGAGACTCAACAATTGAAAATACATTTGAGTTTTATTTTAATTTGTTTGTTTTTATATGACATGAATACGATGGAAGGAGTCACCTTAAAGGAAAAAAAGGATTTAAAAAGGCTGTAGGAAGAAACAACATGACGACAACATGTAAGACACTTCATCTCTGTTTGCAACGTTTTGGTGTCCCACTGTTACAAATCAAGGACCTTTCAGCTGACAGAAAGACTAGTAAAAACAACTCAAGGACAAGGCCACTTATTTACAACCCAAAACAGATTTACCTCACCATTAGTTATATAAGGCAATTGTCAAATATTCACATTTTGCATTGAGATAACTTCATTTAACTTCTTATCCTTCATTACTAATGATTTGCACTATGATTGAGTCAGAACACCAGCGACACCCAGAGGGTAAAACATTGATCAACATTATCAAATCAAAAATGGTGAGCTGTAGACATTGGTGTTATTTAATGTTAAAAAATGCAACCATAACCACAGAAATTTCAATCGAGAAAGGGGCACAAATCTGGAAGACCAGGTTTTCAAATATTCTGCCATGTGTATCAGTATTTAAGTACTGCACTATCACAGAAAAGGCATAGCTTTCTTACCTTCTTTCTGACCCTAACCCTAAACCAACAAATTGATCAAGCTAATACTGGTTGATTCATGTAACCTGATATTATGTGAATACATTTATCTATGTACTGCATGTGGATTTAACTCAAAGCCATCCAGATCAAAGTTTTGGCAGTCAGCAGACTGACGAGCAGGGACACTGTGGATACCAATTGGGCTGAAGCACTGCTCTGGAAAATGATCAAATCTGAATAAAAATAAAAATAAAAATAAATAAACATCCAAAGTTTTCATAAATAGTACTAAACCTGCTCAATGTTATCTGAATTTCAAAAATAAAGAGAGTGTTACCTTTGAAGGATGATCTTTTCTGCTTTAATGCAATGGGTCCCACTGACATGTCTGCAGTGTCATGTTTGGAGATGTCCCTTCGAACTCGTGGAATGTGACCAGGGTAGCAGTGCTGCAAGAAAACAATGCAAGTATCTTTTGGTGATGCATTTGTGAAAAATGTATAATCTCATAGTAAGCCCAAATACAGCAGTACTCACAGAGGAGCACTCTCCGCTTTTTATAAGACAGAGGTGGACCTGGCAGTGCAAGTAGATGGTTGAATAATTGGTAAAGGCGAACATCTTGAACGAGAATCTGGACACCGTGGAGATGCCGTTTTGTATGACCTCTACAGTGTCGTCTGCTGGATTAGGACACCTGAAAGACAGACATGGACCATGTAAAGTAGCATTCAGAGAAATGTTATCTGAGCATTCTAAGACTGTATAAATCAAGGACAAAAAATAAGTTACTGAGATCATGTTTCAAGTTTAAAAAGTGGCTGTACCCTGAGATAATGAGATCCCAGCGGACAGGGTAGTCTCGATTATTGACAGGAGTGGCCCAACAAGTATCAATGATGGTGGAGATCTGCTGTTCATCGACCCCATCCGTCTGAACTTCCACATAAACTTCATCGTCGACTTCAATTCCTGTCCCACTGCCACCAGAGAAAGGGATGAGGAAGTCAGCGTCCAGGAAGGGGGTTATCCTGATGTTATAGCTCCCAACGCCAGCAGGGAGCTTCCTGTTCACAATGCTGAAAAAAACCCACAATGTCACTCATATTAAGAGGAGACCAAAGCATAGATATTACTTGAGAACCAAACACTAAACTGTTTCACTGTTAGTGTAAATAGCACAGATTAATGAGCAACTGAGTAGTGTTAAACATGATAAATCCAAAACTATACTCAATTTGTTTATTTTAGTATCAGACATTATTGACAAGAAATCCCTGAAAACAGACATTCTCTTCAAGACAGACTGTTAATATTTCACATCATTTGCAACATTTATTTAAAAATTTATTGCCAAAACAGAGGAATAGCCTTTTTTTTTTTTTTTTACCTTTCTAGAGGGTTGATGGCCACAGCCATAGACACAGCCTTGGTCAGAGGATAGTGACAGCCAAATTCCAGATTAAGGTGCTTTTTACGGCTGATTGGACCCTCAGTAGGATCTATTTCACCATTAATGCGGTTCTCATAGATGAAATAGGTCCCGTTGCTCTGAAATTGAAAATGACAGTGGTGCAAGTTGATTTATGGTTCAAATATAAATAATGGTAATTTTTAACTTTAAGTTTTGTTGTAAGATTTAAGTCTATAGTTTGTACCCTAAGGACTGTTCCACACAGGTTGTCTTCATTGTCAAAGTGAAACACAACTCGTCCATCGACAGTCAACCCGGTGCAGGACTTATCTTTGAGGTGGAGGGCACTTGGGTGGAAGCCAGCTTCAAATAGCTGGCAGCGTGACAAAGACATGGTGCCTGTGCTACCGGTGCAAGAGATTGATGAGTCTGTAAAGTGTAATTTACAAAGTTTAAAAAAGATGTATTTTTTTGTGTAATAATTCTAATAAAAACGCACTGATCCATATTTACAATGTACTGTATGAGAAAAATAAACCAGAAGACTTGTAAGGGGACAAAGTCAGTCCAGGCTATCAATCTTTCTTATTTAATCTAGACCTCAGAGGTAAACGGATTGTCTAAAATATATATTTTTAACATCAGCGCTGTATCCAACAAGCTTTGTCCCAAGGCTAACCGTGCTCCAAAATAATTATAAGCCAGGGGATTGGATTGTGTACAATTATGCCTTGAGCTTGGACCATATATTTCATTTTCATACTTTAGGTCATTCAGTTAATATTTAAAACATTTAATTCAAACAAGGAAAAATCTCAAATGTGAATGAAAAGGAGCAGAAAGAAGAAAAATCTTATAGAGTCTGCCCCCTTTCATAAGATATAAATCAACTTAACACAATAAAAATTAACAAGTTCACAGTTCATTATTCCTTATTTTTCAAAAACAAACAGAAAAGACCACGTTAATTCACATTTTTCCACAAAACAAACATACCAAGACTTAGATTAACATATTTCCCTGTATTTGCTCAACATACCTGCTTTGACACTTTTTTAAAGACAAAATTTGACATAGCTTCCTTAGTTTCATTGTTCAGATTGTTCCACAAACTTATTCCTCTCACTGTAACACAGCGCTCTTTCAGTTTATTTTTGAAACTTGGCTTTTTAAATATTTCAAATCCTTTTAAATTATGACAACTTTCTCTCTTTTCATATCGGCTCCGGATGTTGAATGGTAAAATTTTCCTATGAGCTTTATACATAATCTGCAACATACTGAAATCTATTAACTCATTGAATTTCAACAACAGCAACTGAACAAATAATGGGTTTGAGGGATCTCTGTGATGACTTCTACCAATATTTCGTATTGCTCTTTTTTGTAAAATTAAAATTGGCTGGATGAAAGTTTTACGTGCACTTCCCCACACTTCAACACAGTAGGTCAGATATGGAACAATAATCGAATTATAAAAGAGGTACAAAGCTTTATAATCTATGTAGTACTTTACTTTGTTCAACATAGCAACCTTTTTTGCTATTTTCACTTTTGTTCCATTAATATGTGATTTCAAGGTCAATTTATGATCAATACTAACACCAAAAAATTTTATTTGATTTAATCTATTAATTTCAATACTTTCGATATTAACTGAAGCATCAATATTTTTCCTTTGTTACCCAAAGTTTGTTTTTTTAATATTCAAGGGTTTGTGGTGAGACGCCTCCTCATCTTGTTTTATTTTGGCTGGACTTCCTGTGTTTCCTTGTTTGCTTGGTCTGGCTTTACTCTTTTCCAGGGCTTCCTCCCCTCCCCCGGCGCTGAGGCTGAGTGAGACTACACACCTGCTCCGCATCTCCAATCAAGGCAAGTCTTTGTAATGTAGAGCAGACTGGAGAGTCTGACAGAGGTTCAACAAAAATAATTATTAATGTCACTAAACAGTGTGTTGCTGCCCATGAGGCACATTTTTGTGGATTTCTATCGGATTTTTTATCACTGATTAAATAGCAAGAGCACTTTCTAAACTTATATTTTACATCAGAATCCATCGATAAGGTCCTGTCTCCTCTGTACAGCACCTTTGTGGAGGCTCTCCTCATTATTGTTCTCCAGGCATCAGGTACTCACGTTGCACCGGCACAGCCAACGGCACTCCATTCGCCAGAGCAACATTTTGCAAAACTGTACCGGCCCAAATGATGTCCCACACCCTTTCAGGAGTGTACAACAATGTCCCCGCTGCTGGGCCAAGACAGAGACACCTGCCTTTTAGTAGTCAAATGAAGCGCTCCACAGAGGCGCGTGTGTGTGTAATGTTAAAACGGTGCTCCTGCTCTGTGGCAGTGTTTCTGGGCAGAGTTATCGAATAGGCCTATTCACCAAGGACATAACAAATTTAATTTATATTATTTTATTTACGTCTTAATCTTTAATGAAATCTGTCTGATTGTGCTTAATGACAGGTTTGAGGTTTGTTTATCAATTATTTTCAGACAGACATTTGCTGCACCACAGATCCACACTGACTCAAACTTGAGTACACGATGTCAGACCTGTCATGAGATTTGGTCGTAGCGTACGCTCACATGCAGATTGATAAATGCCGGTCCTCACGTCAAAATTGTCGTATGCAAGGTGTACGCAAGTTTTCTGCCGTACGCAAGCTTGATAAATGAGGTGGCCAATGTGTCCACCATTGTTACTGTTGTTGTCTGTTTCACACATGGCATTTAAATGTTTCCACATTTAAAGTCAAATGCACATGCGCCAATTGAAAAGTGGCATCAGCGCTGCATTGAAAACCCCGGCTTGCTGTTGACAATGATGGCTGCAGTGTTTCAGAAATATCTCACTCTAGAGGGCGTTGTTGAGTTACCATTTTAAGTCAGCTAAAACAGCATTTCCGCTATCACGAGAAATTGATCTTTGTCATCACGAAATAACAAAATACTTTGTTATCACAAGAAAATGAACTTTGGTATATTGAGATAACGAGATAAGTCATTACCACAAGACAGATACCAATGATTAACTTTTTAGTTATTATTTACTGTTACCATTATTTTGCCAATAATAGCATGTATCCCAAGAAAGTATTACAGTTCCAAGTGCTTATAAACTGAAGCTAAACCTACTTCTCAACTTACACTCAACCATTTGTTGATTTCAAAAAATGGTGTAACATTCAAGAGGCACCCTCACCATATCCTTCATTCTTGGCCCGGTGGTGGTTCTCATCACAATGGCAGCCGTACACTCCATTATTTTCTCCACACCACTCTGTCTCTGTGCAGTTCAGCAGGTCACAGGGGTTTGGCTCCTCTGTGGACAAATTAAGAAAAAATAAATAGGGGACTAAGGATTAGGGATTCTAAATGGAATCAAACCAATCAGCCAAATTTGGGCCAGCACATCTCCTCCTATCAATGGAGACAAATGTTTGCTGAACATAGTCTCTGACAAATTAAGCAATAAGCTTAACTTGACTAAGCAGGAAGAGACCAACCCACATGCAAAAGTAGCTTAGGGTGTATTTCCTTATTCTCTATCTATTAAGTGAAAACATACCACATTGCAAAAAGGAGCGCCATTCTGAGATGTCAAACCCTGAGGCCTGGCAGGTTTTCTCATAGGCTGAGACAGCAGAACACAGCATCTTGTTGGCAGGAGTGTAGAGGCAAAGATCATACACACAGGAGTTGAAAAATGGCTTGGGGTCAGAGTGCTGGTGACAGGCACTGAATGGGCCACTGGAGTTGAAAATGATACCACAGAGCTCTGAGTATTGTTCTATGCAGGGACAGTTTAGTCCATCACCAGTGTCCTCATTCATGGATCCACATCTGGAAAGATAGTTAACATTTAACTGAAGAATGTATAACATCTTACACAGTCAGCCTCAGCCCAAAAGGTACTAAAAGTGTGTTACACGAGTCAAACAACACCTGTTTTTTGATTCAACTAAATTGAGAATATCCTGCATGTCTTTTTTTCCCAATCTCTTACCCAGGCCGGCTACTTGTTGACTTCCAGCTATGTCCAAATTGACTGTCATTTAGTGCCAGTGTTCCATTGGGCAGGGTTTTGTCATCTGATGGGTCACCGTTGAAGTTTCCACACATCCCCCTGACTCTGTTTTCACGGTTTTGGCTGATTCTCACTAATAAAATGCTCTGCCCATCAAACTCCACTATCAGGTCACCAGCATTGACTTCTATGAAGCTGCCTTGCTTTGTTACTTGAGCTAGGGCTCCCTCTCTGGTGGGAAGGGACATCCCACTTCCATTTATCTGAAATGAAGATCAAAGAGAGATGAAGAAGTTTGGAGGTGATTTTTGCTTATGTTTGCACTTAGGTTTTCTTCTTGAAAATGATTGTGTTTACCTTTAATATTTTGTTTGGGCCTATTGTGATGTGTACACTCTCTGGCCCATTTGAGAGGTATACATCCACTGCTGACACAAATGACACTTGGTTGTTGCCACGGTGATTATTGGTGGCTACTACCTGAAACTGGGTTTCATTCATGTTGTGGTCCACACTCTCAGTGACGATGTACGAACATGTGCCTTGAAAATTAGCCAGTGCCCCATCAAAGGTAAAGTAGTGTGGGTCTCCCCACACAGTGCAAACAGACACAGAAGCACCGAAGCAGCCCCGCAGGCCATCTCTGATGGTGCACTCTTGTGCCAGAGTGCAAGATGCGACAAAACAGCGCAGGTCATTGGGTCCATGGCATTTACATTGCTCAGAGCAATCCTCTGTCCAGAAGGACTCACCAGCCTGAAGCAAGAGAGAAAAAGAGGTCCAAAATAAATAAATTGGTTCATGTACAATCTAAAAAAAAAATTGGACAAAAGATTGCTGAGTGGAAATAGTAACATGAAAAATTAGGATTGATTGAAATTAAGGGGGTCAAACAGGAGCAGCAAACTGACAGTTCACCAAAGAAAATGGTGAAGTAAGCAAAGAGGCATGAACATTTTTCAGGCATAGTTTTATAAACGAGAGTTTCAGGCAAATGACTTACTTTGTAGTAAAAGCCATCATACTGACAGCCACAGTTCTCCACACTGACACATTCTGTTCCACTCCTGACAAAGCCTTTGTCACAGAAACATCCCTCCAAGCAAACCTGCTCACAGGTGGCATTAACGCTACTGGTACAGGTGTGGCTGCAGTCAGTACCACAGAGCTCATAATGACTGTTGGCTGGACATTCAAGTTCTTTAAAATTGGGGAAAGAAAAAAGATGTCAGATGATTCAAACTTTACCATTTTAACAAGGTCTCTGTGTTTATGGCGAGGAGACTCTGATGTTTGAAAACCTCTTTACTACTTATAATGCTTCTGCAATAAGGCAGACAACATATGTGGACCTACCACAGGCAGCATCCGCTCTCCAAGGGTAGATGCGAACATCAGAATTCTGACAGGCAGTAGCATAAGTCTGGATGGCCCTGCATAGGAGATTTTGGCCCTCATCACCCGCCACACAAACATCAAACACACAGTCGTTGAAATAAGGTGCTGGGTCCACGTCCCCATGGCAGAAACTGAAGGGGCCATCGGCTGCCTGAATCACCTCACATTTAGCTCTAGCAGGCTTCTCATCTGTACATTTTGGGCAGGGTGAGCTGAATGGGCCACATCCATTATCGCAGGTGTAGTTGCCCTCCACCTTCCAAGCTTCCCCAAACTCGCCTGGAGTGTTGACCACTATCCCAGATGGTGTTTGGTAGTCATCATTTGGATCTCTATTGAAGTTTCCACAGAGTCCACATGTCCGTGCACTATCAATAATTAGGTTACAAAACTTGAGTAATATGAATGACCAAACAATTTAAGACAATGTTGGTATGAAAAAAACAGGTTCAATTGTATTTGAAAACAAAACATATTGTTCAACAAATTAGAAAGGCACAGCATATATAAACAACAAATACAATAAAAAAGATAATGAAATGAAATGGATGAAATGTCATCAATTAAGTATCACAATTAAGACCCAAGTTGTTCAGTGTTTCTGTTTTGGTTTTAGTCAGTAATCTAAGGTATAACTACAATAAAATTTTGAGAAGCAGATACCTGTAATTTGAAGGCACAGAGATTGAAACTGTACTCCATCCATCGTACATGACCTTCAGCCCAAAATCAGTCTTGACATTGATGTAAGATCCACTGGCAAAAATTGACACTTTACCTCCACTTAAGAGAAGTGGTAGACCTGCTCTTCTTCCATTCACCTATACCATCAAAAAATAAAACCAGATGATTAAAGCCTGACAAAATTCTAATTATTGAGGCTTTCACCAATAATTGTTTTGTATTAGTATCTGGTTTCAGACAGAGGTGGCTAACTGAATTGTTGATCGTCACAATATTCAGGGAAACCTACCTCAACATTTCCATTGCTGTTCCTTGACATTCGCACACGATGGCCCCACACATCCACAAAAACTTCAGCAGTGACTGAAACCGACAACCCTCTCAATGGCTCATTCTTGGCCTCAACTGAAAACTGCTGGAGTTCATCAGTGGTGTTACAAAGTGTTGCCAGAACATACCGACATGTGCCCTGGAAGTCGAACGTTTTGCCATCAAAGCTTTGGTAGTGGGGGTCACCTGAGGCTAAGCAGATGCCATGAAGGTTCGGATGGCAGCCAATTTTACCCTCCACCACACGGCAGGACTCCAGGGGACCACAAGAATCTGGGGCACAGTGGACCTTCCCAGTATTACCATTACAGCTACACAAGCTCTGACACTTGTCACTATCCCAGAACACCTCACCACTTTGCCTGTAGTGTCCTTTATGATAGCATCCGCAGTGTGTTGGTGGCACACACTGGTTGCCATTGAGGACAAAACCATCATCACACTGACATCCCTCTTGGCACACAGTGTCACAGGTGAAGGGGAAAGAGAGACTGGGGCAAGTGGAAGGACAAGAGCTTCCACAGAGTTCATAGTGGCTGTTCAGTGGGCAGTTTTGATCTACAGAGAATAAAAAAATATTCAGCATGTCTTGACTTTTTATTTCAAAGCCCAAAGCAGGCAAAGTGCTTACCGCAGTCTGTTACATTCCTCCAGTATCCTACTGTGATGCCCTTCTGTTGACACATCAGTGCATAATTTTGTAGGACCTCACATAGGGCTGATGCTGGATCTGAAGAAGCTTTGATGCTGTCAACACAGGCATCTACATGTTGTTGTGCATCTGTTATATCCCAGCACCTGGAGAATGGCCCATGTGGAGAGCGAAGGATGCCACAGTCCTGCCTAGGTGTGTTAAAAGTTGTTGAATTAGGGTTTGTGCTTGCCACACAGTAATCTGCAAGGGAGCCATGTCGCCAACTGTCCCCAAAGACTTGAGAATTGTTGACAAGGTTGCCACTGGGTGTGCGGAAGTCGTCATGAGGGTGACCATTGTAATTACCACACAGTCCACCAAGAGTGCCATTGTAGATAGCAGGCGCTGTGACACGTATGTAGTGAGGCCAGACTGTCTGAACAGTCACACCAAATGATGTGCGAATGATGATACTGTGAATGTTGCTGCGGTAGATCTGAATCCTGTTGGATGCTGACTTGAAAGGTAGCCTGATAAGCTGACCATCAACCTAAATAGCCATTAAAATAGTAAGTCAGATAATCAGAAGGAATATTTTCCTTTATGTGTCATTTTGACAATGTTGTATTATAGTGACCTTGATATGCTTTGAATTATGAGAAATATATGAGAAAAATAGCCTTCACCTTAACTCTGCTGTTGCTTGTCATTTCAATTGAGATCTGTGTACCCTCTGCCTCAAATGTCAGCACATCTGCAAAACTTTGCTGACCTGAGGGAACTTTTTCTGTTGTCACCATGAAGTGCGGATGACTAGACAATCCCATTACTTTGGCAAGGGTCAATTGACAGGCTCCAGGGTGCTGGTATGTCTTTTCATCAAATGTATGATATGACCCTGGGCCCTTCTTCCAGCATGTTGCATAACTGTCAGGGCTGCATCCTCTTTCTCCATCTATCACACTGCAAGATTCCAGTGGGCCACAACCATGAGAGACACACGTCATGGAACCATAGCTGCAGCTGCAAAGTCTCCCACAGTCGTCATCTAGTATCACAGTTTCTCCAGCGGGGTAGTAGCGACCCTCGAAGTTGCAGCCACACTCAGCATGAGGAACACAGTCCCCAGCACTTAAGATAAATCCTGGGTCACAGATGCAGCTCTCCTTATTAGGGAGAGGGCAGTTAAGGGTAGAATTTGGATTGACACAGGTATCAGGACATCCTGTTCCTTGGGACTCAAAATGACTGTTGGAGGGACATTGGATTTCTGAAAATAGAAAAAAAAATTAATTGATTTCAGAAAATTGTATCCAAATGATTGTGTTTAATGTTGAAAGATAGAGATTATTACCACAGAATCCTTCACTCCTCCAGCTTGGCAGCTGTATACCCAACTGTTGACACTGACTTGCATAGACGTTTAGGGCTTGGCACAGAATTGGCTGGTACCCTTTGCCAAGACACAGATCAAAAACACAGCTCTCTGCGACGTTTTCTGGGGGAAGTTGTTGATGGCAAGCAGCAAAAGGACCAGAACGGTCTCGTAGAATTCCACAAAGCTTATTATTTCTGTAAAAAGCTATCTGGTCCACAGTACAGTCAAAACAGCCAAGACCCTCACAGGGAGGCTCACAACCAGGCTCATCATCTGTCTGAGCTTTCCAACTGTTGGCAAAAACCACACCCGAGCTAACAACCTTGCCTTGGGGAGTTTGGAAGTCATCTGAAGGGTTATTGTTAAAATTTCCACACAAGCCACGTACTGCGTTTTGGTAAGTGTAGGGCAAACCAATGGTGACATAATGGTTAGTGTCATAGGTTACCTCCAGGCCAAAGTCAGTACTGATTATCACAGAAAAACCTGATGCATAAACCTCGATAGTGCCACTGTTGAGTTTGAGAGGGGTGGCTGCAAAATTTCCATTAACCTGAATGAAAAAAAAACATACAGTTGTAAAAAATATGAGCAAAATAAATGAATTACCGGAAATCGAGACTTTATCCTTATTACTAACCTTAGCCATGCCGGGACGTCCCTTCACAAGCTCAATTGTTTCATCGTACACAAAGACTTTGACCAGTTTAGTCCATGACACACGAGTGCTGCCCCGGTGCTCATTCTTGCCCTCCACCCTAAAGTAAGGCAGCCCTGCACCACTCTGCTCAGAGAGAATATAAGTACAGACTCCCTGAAAGTGAAGCACACGATCATCAAAGGTGTAGTAATGGGGGTCGCCAGATATAGTGCAAATTCGTCTCTGCACATTCTGGCAGGAGAAGTGAAAGGTGGCAGGCTGGCAGGTTTGGGAAAAAGAGCAGGGTTGGCTGTGACACACTAGGCCTACGGAGGTGCAGGTGCACTTCTCAGCACAGGTGCTATCAGTCCAGAACGAGTTGCCCAGCTTAAATGATTTACCTTTGAACAAGAGGAAAAAGAATATGTCTGCGTGAAATGGTTCTTGTGGAAAACAGGCGAGGGTTGAAAAAAAAAACACAGTAACAGAGTGGCAGATAGCATACAGTTTCCTCAAACAGATTGGTCATATAAACAGGGTCAGTGTCTTTTACTTGTACAGAACCTGGCACCTTGTAAGGTTGAGGAAAAAGTTGATCATATCACAATTTTAATGGAATTGAAATTAAAGCAACATTAATGTTGCTGGACTAACCTTTGAAAGAGCAATTCACAGGACGTCTCCAGGACACTGGGGAAAAGGTCATGTTTCCATGATCTGAATGATAGTGATCTGTTAATTCTCTTGTGATAAATGAATTGGCTTTGCTGTAAACTAATGAAAATATATTTATCTGAACAAATGAAAAACAGACATTAACTATGCCAAATACAATAAACTGAAAGTCAGTTAGAAAATACACCTGCCTCAAGACCAAGAAAAACCATACTAAAATGTGCACTCATGTTGTATTGGGCAAAGGTGAGATGTGCCTTGTCTTCTCTAAATGTACATGCACAAATCCTACGACCATAAGAAAATCTAACTAGCATTGATTAGCAAGCAGTGTCTAAACTCTTAAAAAAATAAAAAATACACCCCGACAGCTCTAAAAACTCTGGTAAATAGTGTGATCCACTGGTATGATAAACAATGAATTCTGACGTTATGTCTAGGCTGGACTTTTCCCACCCACCACAAGCTGGGGCTATAGTTTTGTAAAATATTTATTGCATATCATTATGCATTATTATGTCATAATATTGCAATATAATACATTCTGCTTTATTCCTCTAACACCAAGTTATGAATAAATGGGACATATGGTATCTGGGAGAATTTAACAGAAAAATGATCGGAGGGATATAAAGTAGAATGGAGATTGTGTCAGGTGATAAAACTGGCTTACAACTACCTGAAAGGAGCAAAATGAATCCAGCAAAGGTTTGTGATTGTAAACCCTATAATGTTAAAGTAATACCAGAGATTTTGTTATGTGATAAATTTGGACCTTGAGTTTTATCTTCCTTGATTTTAAAACACTGGTAAGAGAAATGATAAACTGAATTTTGATACTGTCTGCCAGCAACAAAACTATCCTCTCAAAGTCCTGGAGTCTGAATGACAGTGATCTGTTATTTCTCTAGAGGTATATTGATTTTGCTGAGCTTTTACCTAATAAAAATATACTTTTTTGAACAAATGATAACTGTATTGGTATTTTAAATTTAACTTACTTGGTATGATTGGGGTAGTAGTAGTTGTGGTCTGAGTGGTGGTTGTCCATGGGGTTGCTGTTGTAAAAAAAGTATAGATGACTGTATTTAGAAAAGAGAAGTTTAGCATGCCAAATACAATAGACTGAAAGTCAGCAAGTGAATGTGACTGCCTCAAGACCAAGCAAAACCAGACTAAAATGTGCACTCATGTTGTATATTCCATAGAGCATTTACTGGCAAGCACTAACCTAAATGTTATAAAAGAAAAAACCTGGTAATCTCTGAAAACTCCCTGAAGAAAATTTGCTCAGTGTAACAAGTAGTAACCCATAGGTAAAAAGTGTGATCCACTGGTATGATTTACCATGATTTCCAATGTTGTTTCTAGGCTGTACTTTTCTCATACATCCACTAGCTTGGGCTATAGTTTTTAATTTATACTTATTGCACATGCTATCTACCAACTTTGCACTATTTTACCATAACAATGCAATATAATACTTGATGCTGTACTCCTTTACCACCAAGTGATGAATACATGTGACTCATGGTATCTGGGAAAACATGGCAGTATAATGATTAAAGGGATATAAAGTTGAACTGAGGTTGTGTCAGGTTATCAGACTGGCTTACAGCTACCCAACCAGATCAAAGATTAAGGATTGTACTCCTTTTTATGTAAAACTTGTGCCAAATATTTTGGTGGACGATTGATTTGGACCTATTTTATCCCATGACTCTAAAACAGTTTAGTTTGAGAGATAATAATACTGAATCTAATTACCCTCTACCAGTAACAGAATTATGATTTTCAAGTCCTGGAGTCTGAATGAAAGTGATATGATATTTCTCTAATGGTTAATTGTACCTGTTCTGCTGTTAATTTATGAAAAATATACTTTCTTAATAAATGAAAGGAGTAGGATTTTGGATTTAACTTACTTGTCGTAACTGGGCCAGTAGTAGTTGTGGTCTGAGTGGTGGTTGTCAATGGAGTTGCTGCAGATAAAAAGCAATGAATGACCATATTTAGAGAACAGAAGTTGAGCATGACAGAAATCAGATCAAGTAGTCAAAAAAAGTCAAAGGATCAGAAGAAAATCAAGAAGTAACCATTAGCAAGAAGGTGTAACCAGGAAAGGTTTGTGATTGTAAACAATATGTCATCATACCAAATATTTTGTTCAGTGATTGATTTGGACCATTCATTTATCCTTCTTGATATTAAAACAGTGTGGTAAGAGAAATAATAAAACTGAATCTAAGTGCTGTCTGCTAATAATGGATATATCCTATTTAAATCCTGGTGTCTGAATCATTGCAGTCTAGTGGTAAAGTGTATTTGCTTTGCTTTTGCGTTATTTCTTTAGTGGTAAATTGTATTTGCTCTGTTGTAAACAAATAAAAAAACATGTACTGCTTTTAACAAATGACAAAAGGCATAGTATTTTTGGTTCAGCTTACTTGTTGTTACTGGAGCAGTAGTAGTAGTAGTGGCCTCAGTCGTGGTTGTTGTTGGAGTTGCTGTTATTTAAAAAAAATAATAATAATAAAACAATGGATAACTATATTTGGGAAACAGAAGTTAAGCATGCCAATTAAAATAGACTGAGAGTCAGTTAGGAATTACACCTGCCTGCCTCAAGACCAAGTAAAACCAGACTAAAATGTGCACTCATGTTGTATATACTATAGAGACCATGACATGCTTTGTCTCCTCTTAATGTAAATGTGAAAGTCCTAGGACCATGAGAAAAACAAACTTGCATTTATTTGAAGGCAGTAACCTAAAACCTTTTGAAGAAAAACCTGGTAAGCTCTGAAAACTCCCTGAAAAATATTTGCTCACTGTATCAAGTAGTAACCTATAGGTAAAAAGTGTGATCCACTGGTATGATTTACCATGATTTCCAATGCTGTTTCTAGGCTGTACTTTTCCCACTAACCTCTAGCTTGGGCAATAGTTTTGATTTATACTTATTGCACATGCTATCTACCAACTTTGCACTATTTTACCATAACAATGCAATATAATACTTGATGCTGTACTCCTTTACCACCAAGTGATGAATACATGTGACTCATGGTGTCTGGGAAAACATGGCAGTATAATGATTAAAGGGATATAAAGTTGAACTGAGGTTGTGTAAGGTTATCAAACTGGCTTACAGCTACCCAACCAGATCAAAGATTAAGGATTGTACACCTTTTTATGTAAAACTTGTGCCAAATATTTTGGTGGACGATTGATTTGGACCTATTTTATCCCATGACTCTAAAACAGTTTAGTTTGAGAGATAATAATACTGAATCTAATTACCCTCTACCAGTAACAGAATTATGTTATTCAAGTCCTGGAGTCTGAATGAAAGTGATTTGATATTTCTCTAGTGGTTAATTGTACTTGTTCTGCTGTTTAATTATGAAAAATATACTTTCTTAATAAATGAAAGGAGTAGGATTTTGGATTTAACTTACTTGTCGTAACTGGGCCAGTAGTAGTTGTGGTCTGAGTGGTGGTTGTCAATGGAGTTGCTACAGATAAAAAGCAATGAATGACCATATTTAGAAAACAGAAGTTGAGCATGCCAAATTCAACAGACAGAAATCAGATCAAGTAGTCAAAAAAAGTCAAAGGACCAGAAGAAAATCAAGAAGTAACCATTAGCAAGAAGGTGTAACCAGGAAAGGTTTGTGATTGTAAACATTATGTCATCATACCAAATATTTTGTTGAGTGATTGATTTGGACCATTCATTTATCCTTCTTGATATTAAAACAGTGTGGTAAGAGAAATAATAAAACTGAATCTAAGTGCTGTCTGCTAATAATGCATATATCCTATTTAAATCCCGGTGTCTGAATCATTGCAGTCTAGTGGTAAAGTGTATTTGCTTTGCTTTTGCGTTATTTCTTTAGTGGTAAATTGTATTTGCTCTGTTGTAAACTAATAAAAAAACATATACTGCTTTTAACAAATGACAAAAGGCATAGTATTTTTGGTTCAGCTTACTTGTTGTTACTGGAGCAGTAGTAGTAGTAGTGGCCTCAGTCGTGGTTGTTGTTGGAGTTGCTGTCATAAAAAAAAAAACAAAAAAAACAATGCATTACTATATTTGGGAAACAGAATTTAAGCATGCCAATTAAAATAGACTGAGAGTCAGTTAGGAATTACACCTGCCTGCCTCAAGACCAAGTAAAACCAGACTAAAATGTGCACTCATGTTGTATATACTATAGAGACCATGACATGCTTTGTCTCCTCTTAATGTAAATGTGAAAGTCCTAGAGCCATGATAAAAACAAACTTGCATTTATTTGAAGGCAGTAACCTAAAACCTTTTGAAGAAAAACCCGGTTAGCTCTGAAAACTCCCTGAAAAATATTTGCTCAGCGTATCAAGTAGTAACCCATAGGTAAAAAGTGTGATCCACTGGTATGATTTACCATGATTTCCAATGCTGTTTCTAGGCTGTACTTTTCCCACTAACTTCTAGCTTGGGCAATAGTTTTGATTTATACTTAATGCACATGCTATCTACCAACTTTGCACTATTTTACCATAACAATGCAATATAATACTTGATGCTGTACTCCTTTACCACCAAGTGATGAATACATGTGACTCATGGTGTCTGGGAAAACATGGCAGTATAATGATTAAAGGGATATAAAGTTGAACTGAGGTTGTGTCAGGTTATCAAACTGGCTTACAGCTACCCAACCAGATCAAAGATTAAGGATTGTACTCCTTTTTATGTAAAACTTGTGCCAAATATTTTGGTGGACGATTGATTTGGACCTATTTTATCCCATGACTCTAAAACAGTTTAGTTTGAGAGATAATAATACTGAATCTAATTACCCTCTACCAGTAACAGAATTATGTTATTCAAGTCCTGGAGTCTGAATGAAAGTGATCAGATATTTCTCTAGTGGTTAATTGTACTTGTTCTGCTGTTTAATTATGAAAAATATACTTTCTTAATAAATGAAAGGAGTAGGATTTTGGATTTAACTTACTTGTCGTAACTGGGCCAGTAGTAGTTGTGGTCTGAGTGGTGGTTGTCAATGGAGTTGCTGCAGATAAATAGTAATGAATGACCATATTTAGAAAACAGAAGTTGAGCATGCCAAATTCAACAGACAGAAATCAGATCAAGTAGTCAAAAAAAGTCAAAGGACCAGAAGAAAATCAAGAAGTAACCATTAGCAAGCAGGTGTAACCAGGAAAGGTTTGTGATTGTAAACAATATGTCATCATACCAAATATTTTGTTGAGTGATTGATTTGGACCATTCATTTATCCTTCTTGATATTAAAACAGTGTGGTAAGAGAAATAATAAAACTGAATCTAAGTGCTGTCTGCTAATAATGGATATATCCTATTTAAATCCCGGTGTCTGAATCATTGCAGTCTAGTGGTAAAGTGTATTTGCTTTGCTTTTGCGTTATTTCTTTAGTGGTAAATTGTATTTGCTCTGTTGTAAACTAATAAAAAAACATATACTGCTTTTAACAAATGACAAAAGGCATAGTATTTTTGGTTCAGCTTACTTGTTGTTACTGGAGCAGTAGTAGTAGTAGTGGCCTCAGTCGTGGTTGTTGTTGGAGTTGCTGTCATAAAAAAAAAAAACAAAAAAAACAATGGATAACTATATTTGGGAAACAGAATTTAAGCATGCCAATTAAAATAGACTGAGAGTCAGTTAGGAATTACACCTGCCTGCCTCAAGACCAAGTAAAACCAGACTAAAATGTGCACTCATGTTGTATATACTATAGAGACCATGACATGCTTTGTCTCCTCTTAATGTAAATGTGAAAGTCCTAGGACCATGAGAAAAACAAACTTGCATTTATTTGAAGGCAGTAACCTAAAACCTTTTGAAGAAAAACCTGGTTAGCTCTGAAAACTCCCTGAAAAATATTTGCTCAGTGTATCAAGTAGTAACCCATAGGTAAAAAGTGTGATCCACTGGTATGATTTACCATGATTTCCAATGCTGTTTCTAGGCTGTACTTTTCCCACTAACTTCTAGCTTGGGCAATAGTTTTGATTTATACTTAATGCACATGCTATCTACCAACTTTGCACTATTTTACCATAACAATGCAATTTAATACTTGATGCTGTACTCCTTTACCACCAAGTGATGAATACATGTGACTCATGGTGTCTGGGAAAACATGGCAGTATAATGATTAAAGGGATATAAAGTTGAACTGAGGTTGTGTCAGGTTATCAAACTGGCTTACAGCTACCCAACCAGATCAAAGATTAAGGATTGTACTCCTTTTTATGTAAAACTTGTGCCAAATATTTTGGTGGACGATTGATTTGGACCTATTTTATCCCATGACTCTAAAACAGTTTAGTTTGAGAGATAATAATACTGAATCTAATTACCCTCTACCAGTAACAGAATTATGTTATTCAAGTCCTGGAGTCTGAATGAAAGTGATCTGATATTTCTCTAGTGGTTAATTGTACTTGTTCTGCTGTTAATTTATGAAAAATATACTTTCTTAATAAATGAAAGGAGTAGGATTTTGGATTTAACTTACTTGTCGTAACTGGGCCAGTAGTAGTTGTGGTCTGAGTGGTGGTTGTCAATGGAGTTGCTGCAGATAAATAGTAATGAATGACCATATTTAGAAAACAGAAGTTGAGCATGCCAAATTCAACAGACAGAAATCAGATCAAGTAGTCAAAAAAAGTCAAAGGACCAGAAGAAAATCAAGAAGTAACCATTAGTAAGCAGGTGTAACCAGGAAAGGTTTGTGATTGTAAACATTATGTCATCATACCAAATATTTTGTTGAGTGATTGATTTGGACCATTCATTTATCCTTCTTGATATTAAAACAGTGTGGTAAGAGAAATAATAAAACTGAATCTAAGTGCTGTCTGCTAATAATGGATATATCCTATTTAAATCCCGGTATCTGAATCATTGCAGTCTAGTGGTAAAGTGTATTTGCTTTGCTTTTGCGTTATTTCTTTAGTGGTAAATTGTATTTGCTCTGTTGTAAACTAATAAAAAAACATATACTGCTTTTAACAAATGACAAAAGGCATAGTATTCTTGGTTCAGCTTACTTGTTGTTACTGGAGGAGTAGTAGTAGTAGTGGCCTGAGTCGTGGTTGTTGTTGGAGTTGCTGTCATAAAAAAAACAAAAAAAACAATGCATTACTATATTTGGGAATCAGAAGTTAAGCATGCTAATTAAAATAGACTGAGAGTCATTCAGGAATTACACCTGCCTGCCTCAAGACCAAGTAAAACCAGACTAAAATGTGCACTCATGTTGTATATACTATAGAGACCATGACATGCTTTGTCTCCTCTTAATGTAAATGTGAAAGTCCTAGAGCCATGATAAAAACAAACTTGCATTTATTTGAAGGCAGTAACCTAAAACCTTTTGAAGAAAAACCTGGTTAGCTCTAAAAACTCCCTGAAAAATATTTGCTCAGTGTATCAAGTAGTAACCCATAGGTAAAAAGTGTGATCCGCTGGTATGATTTACCATGATTTCCAATGCTGTTTCTAGGCTGTACTTTTCCCACTAACTTCTAGCTTGGGCAATAGTTTTGATTTATACTTAATGCACATGCTATCTACCAACTTTGCACTATTTTACCATAACAATGCAATTTAATACTTGATGCTGTACTCCTTTACCACCAAGTGATGAATACATGTGACTCATGGTGTCCAGGAAAACATGGCAGTATAATGATTAAAGGGATATAAAGTTGAACTGAGGTTGTGTCAGGTTATCAAACTGGCTTACAGCTACCCAACCAGATCAAAGATTAAGGATTGTACACCTTTTTATGTAAAACTTGTGCCAAATATTTTGGTGGACGATTGATTTGGACCTATTTTATCCCATGACTCTAAAACAGTTTAGTTTGAGAGATAATAATACTGAATCTAATTACCCTCTACCAGTAACAGAATTATGTTATTCAAGTCCTGGAGTCTGAATGAAAGTGATATGATATTTCTCTAATGGTTAATTGTACTTGTTCTGCTGTTAATTTATGAAAAATATACTTTCTTAATAAATGAAAGGAGTAGGATTTTGGATTTAACTTACTTGTCGTAACTGGGCCATGAGTAGTTGTGGTCTGAGTGGTGGTTGTCAATGGAGTTGCTGCAGATAAATAGTAATGAATGACCATATTTAGAAAACAGAAGTTGAGCATGCCAAATTCAACAGACAGAAATCAGATCAAGTAGTCAAAAAAAGTCAAAGGACCAGAAGAAAATCAAGAAGTAACCATTAGTAAGCAGGTGTAACCAGGAAAGGTTTGTGATTGTAAACAATATGTCATCATACCAAATATTTTGTTCAGTGATTGATTTGGACCATTTATTTATCCTTCTTGATATTAAAACCGTGTGGTAAGAGAAATAATAAAACTGAATCTATGTGCTGTCTGCTAATAATGGATATATCCTATTTAAATCCCGGTATCTGAATCATTGCAGTTTAGTGGTAAAGTGTATTTGCTTTGCTTTAGCGTTATTTCTTTAGTGGTAAATTGTATTTGCTCTGTTGTAAACAAATAAAAAACATAAACTGCTTTTAACAAATGACAAAAGGCATAGTATTCTTGGTTCAGCTTACTTGTTGTTACTGGAGGAGTAGTAGTAGTAGTAGTGGCCTGAGTCGTGGTTGTTGTTGGAGTTGCTGTCATAAAAAAAACAAAAAAAACAATGCATTACTATATTTGGGAATCAGAAGTTAAGCATGCTAATTAAAATAGACTGAGAGTCATTTAGGAATTACACCTGCCTGCCTCAAGACCAAGTAAAACCAGACTAAAATGTGCACTCATGTTGTATATACTATAGAGACCATGACATGCTTTGTCTCCTCTTAATGTAAATGTGAAAGTCCTAGAGCCATGATAAAAACAAACTTGCATTTATTTGAAGGCAGTAACCTAAAACCTTTTGAAGAAAAACCTGGTTAGCTCTGAAAACTCCCTGAAAAATATTTGCTCAGTGTATCAAGTAGTAACCTATAGGTAAAAAGTGTGATCCACTGGTATGATTTACCATGATTTCCAATGCTGTTTCTAGGCTGTACTTTTCCCACTAACTTCTAGCTTGGGCAATAGTTTTGATTTATACTTAATGCACATGCTATCTACCAACTTTGCGCTATTTTACCATAACAATGCAATTTAATACTTGATGCTGTACTCCTTTACCACCAAGTGATGAATACATGTGACTCATGGTGTCCGGGAAAACATGGCAGTATAATGATTAAAGGGATATAAAGTTGAACTGAGGTTGTGTCAGGTTATCAAACTGGCTTACAGCTACCCAACCAGATCAAAGATTAAGGATTGTACACCTTTTTATGTAAAACTTGTGCCAAATATTTTGGTGGACGATTGATTTGGACCTATTTTATCCCATGACTCTAAAACAGTTTAGTTTGAGAGATAATAATACTGAATCTAATTACCCTCTACCAGTAACAGAATTATGTTATTCAAGTCCTGGAGTCTGAATGAAAGTGATCTGATATTTCTCTAGTGGTTAATTGTACTTGTTCTGCTGTTAATTTATGAAAAATATACTTTCTTAATAAATGAAAGGAGTAGGATTTTGGATTTAACTTACTTGTCGTAACTGGGCCATGAGTAGTTGTGGTCTGAGTGGTGGTTGTCAATGGAGTTGCTGCAGATAAATAGTAATGAATGACCATATTTAGAAAACAGAAGTTGAGCATGCCAAATTCAACAGACAGAAATCAGATCAAGTAGTCAAAAAAAGTCAAAGGACCAGAAGAAAATCAAGAAGTAACCATTAGTAAGCAGGTGTAACCAGGAAAGGTTTGTGATTGTAAACATTATGTCATCATACCAAATATTTTGTTGAGTGATTGATTTGGACCATTCATTTATCCTTCTTGATATTAAAACAGTGTGGTAAGAGAAATAATAAAACTGAATCTAAGTGCTGTCTGCTAATAATGGATATATCCTATTTAAATCCCGGTATCTGAATCATTGCAGTCTAGTGGTAAAGTGTATTTGCTTTGCTTTTGCGTTATTTCTTTAGTGGTAAATTGTATTTGCTCTGTTGTAAACAAATAAAAAACATAAACTGCTTTTAACAAATGACAAAAGGCATAGTATTCTTGGTTCAGCTTACTTGTTGTTACTGGAGGAGTAGTAGTAGTAGTGGCCTGAGTCGTGGTTGTTGTTGGAGTTGCTGTCATAAAAAAAACAAAAAAAACAATGCATTACTATATTTGGGAATCAGAAGTTAAGCATGCTAATTAAAATAGACTGAGAGTCATTTAGGAATTACACCTGCCTGCCTCAAGACCAAGTAAAACCAGACTAAAATGTGCACTCATGTTGTATATACTATAGAGACCATGACATGCTTTGTCTCCTCTTAATGTAAATGTGAAAGTCCTAGGACCATGAGAAAAACAAACTTGCATTTATTTGAAGGCAGTAACCAAAAACCTTTTGAAGAAAAACCTGGTTAGCTCTGAAAACTCCCTGAAAAATATTTGCTCACTGTAACAAGTAGTAACCCATAGGTAAAAAGTGTGATCCACTGATATGATTTACCATGATTTCCAATGCTGTTTCTAGGCTGTACTTTTCCCACTAACTTCTAGCTTGGGCAATAGTTTTGATTTATACTTACTGCACATGCTATCTACCAACTTTGCACTATTTTACCAAAACAATGCAATATAATACTTGATGCTATACTCCTGTACCACCAAGTGATGAATACATGTGACTCATGGTGTCTGGGAAAACATGGCAGTATAATGATTAAAGGGATATAAAGTTGAACTGAGGTTGTGTAAGGTTATCAAACTGGCTTACAGCTACCCAACCAGATCAAAGATTAAGGATTGTACACCTTTTTATGTAAAACTTGTGCCAAATATTTTGGTGGACGATTGATTTGGACCTATTTTATCCCATGACTCTAAAACAGTTTAGTTTGAGAGATAATAATACTGAATCTAATTACCCTCTACCAGTAACAGAATTATGTTATTCAAGTCCTGGAGTCTGAATGAAAGTGATATGATATTTCTCTAGTGGTTAATTGTACTTGTTCTGCTGTTAATTTATGAAAAATATACTTTCTTAATAAATGAAAGGAGTAGGATTTTGGATTTAACTTACTTGTCGTAACTGGGCCAGTAGTAGTTGTGGTCTGAGTGGTGGTTGTCAATGGAGTTGCTGCAGATAAATAGTAATGAATGACCATATTTAGAAAAAAGAAGTTGAGCATGCCAAATTCAACAGACAGAAATCAGAACAAGTAGTCAAAAAAAGTCAAAGGACCAGAAGAAAATCAAGAAGTAACCATTAGTAAGCAGGTGTAACCAGGAAAGGTTTGTGATTGTAAACAATATGTCATCATACCAAATATTTTGTTCAGTGATTGATTTGGACCATTTATTTATCCTTCTTGATATTAAAACCGTGTGGTAAGAGAAATAATAAAACTGAATCTATGTGCTGTCTGCTAATAATGGATATATCCTATTTAAATCCCGGTATCTGAATCATTGCAGTCTAGTGGTAAAGTGTATTTGCTTTGCTTTAGCGTTATTTCTTTAGTGGTAAATTGTATTTGCTCTGTTGTAAACAAATAAAAAACATAAACTGCTTTTAACAAATGACAAAAGGCATAGTATTTTTGGTTCAGCTTACTTGTTGTTACTGGAGGAGTAGTAGTAGTAGTGGCCTGAGTCGTGGTTGTTGTTGGAGTTGCTGTCATAAAAAAAACAAAAAAAACAATGCATTACTATATTTGGGAATCAGAAGTTAAGCATGCTAATTAAAATAGACTGAGAGTCATTTAGGAATTACACCTGCCTGCCTCAAGACCAAGTAAAACCAGACTAAAATGTGCACTCATGTTGTATATACTATAGAGACCATGACATGCTTTGTCTCCTCTTAATGTAAATGTGAAAGTCCTAGGACCATGAGAAAAACAAACTTGCATTTATTTGAAGGCAGTAACCAAAAACCTTTTGAAGAAAAACCTGGTTAGCTCTGAAAACTCCCTGAAAAATATTTGCTCACTGTAACAAGTAGTAACCTATAGGTAAAAAGTGTGATCCTCTGGTATGATTTACCATTATTTCCAATGCTGTTTCTAGGCTGTACTTTTCCCACTAACTTCTAGCTTGGGCAATAGTTTTGATTTATACTTAATGCACATGCTATCTACCAACTTTGCACTATTTTACCATAACAATGCAATTTAATACTTGATGCTGTACTCCTTTACCACCAAGTGATGAATACATGTGACTCATGGTGTCCGGGAAAACATGGCAGTATAATGATTAAAGGGCTATAAAGTTGAACTGAGGTTGTGTCAGGTTATCAAACTGGCTTACAGCTACCCAACCAGATCAAAGATTAAGGATTGTACACCTTTTTATGTAAAACTTGTGCCAAATATTTTGGTGGACGATTGATTTGGACCTATTTTATCCCATGACTCTAAAACAGTTTAGTTTGAGAGATAATAATACTGAATCTAATTACCCTCTACCAGTAACAGAATTATGTTATTCAAGTCCTGGAGTCTGAATGAAAGTGATATGATATTTCTCTAGTGGTTAATTGTACTTGTTCTGCTGTTAATTTATGAAAAATATACTTTCTTAATAAATGAAAGGAGTAGGATTTTGGATTTAACTTACTTGTCGTAACTGGGCCATGAGTAGTTGTGGTCTGAGTGGTGGTTGTCAATGGAGTTGCTGCAGATAAATAGTAATGAATGACCATATTTAGAAAACAGAAGTTGAGCATGCCAAATTCAACAGACAGAAATCAGATCAAGTAGTCAAAAAAAGTCAAAGGACCAGAAGAAAATCAAGAAGTAACCATTAGCAAGCAGGTGTAACCAGGAAAGGTTTGTGATTGTAAACAATATGTCATCATACCAAATATTTTGTTCAGTGATTGATTTGGACCATTCATTTATCCTTCTTGATATTAAAACAGTGTGGTAAGAGAAATAATAAAACTGAATCTAAGTGCTGTCTGCTAATAATGGATATATCCTATTTAAATCCCGGTATCTGAATCATTGCAGTCTAGTGGTAAAGTGTATTTGCTTTGCTTTTGCGTTATTTCTTTAGTGGTAAATTGTATTTGCTCTGTTGTAAACAAATAAAAAACATAAACTGCTTTTAACAAATGACAAAAGGCATAGTATTTTTGGTTCAGCTTACTTGTTGTTACTGGAGGAGTAGTAGTAGTAGTGGCCTGAGTCGTGGTTGTTGTTGGAGTTGCTGTCATAAAAAAAACAAAAAAAACAATGCATTACTATATTTGGGAATCAGAAGTTAAGCATGCTAATTAAAATAGACTGAGAGTCAGTTAGGAATTACACCTGCCTGCCTCAAGACCAAGTAAAACCAGACTAAAATGTGCACTCATGTTGTATATACTATAGAGACCATGACATGCTTTGTCTCCTCTTAATGTAAATGTGAAAGTCCTAGGACCATGAGAAAAACAAACTTGCATTTATTTGAAGGCAGTAACCAAAAACCTTTTGAAGAAAAACCTGGTTAGCTCTGAAAACTCCCTGAAAAATATTTGCTCACTATAACAAGTAGTAACCCATAGGTAAAAAGTGTGATCCACTGATATGATTTACCATGATTTCCAATGCTGTTTCTAGGCTGTACTTTTCCCACTAACTTCTAGCTTGGGCAATAGTTTTGATTTATACTTACTGCACATGCTATCTACCAACTTTGCACTATTTTACCAAAACAATGCAATATAATACTTGATGCTATACTCCTGTACCACCAAGTGATGAATACATGTGACTCATGGTGTCTGGGAAAACATGGCAGTATAATGATTAAAGGGATATAAAGTTGAACTGAGGTTGTGTCAGGTTATCAAACTGGCTTACAGCTACCCAACCAGATCAAAGATTAAGGATTGTACACCTTTTTATGTAAAACTTGTGCCAAATATTTTGGTGGACGATTGATTTGGACCTATTTTATCCCATGACTCTAAAACAGTTTAGTTTGAGAGATAATAATACTGAATCTAATTACCCTCTACCAGTAACAGAATTATGTTATTCAAGTCCTGGAGTCTGAATGAAAGTGATATGATATTTCTCTAGTGGTTAATTGTACTTGTTCTGATGTTAATTTATGAAAAATATACTTTCTTAATAAATGAAAGGAGTAGGATTTTGGATTTAACTTACTTGTCGTAACTGGGCCAGTAGTAGTTGTGGTCTGAGTGGTGGTTGTCAATGGAGTTGCTGCAGATAAAAAGCAATGAATGACCATATTTAGAGAACAGAAGTTGAGCATGACAGAAATCAGATCAAGTAGTCAAAAAAAGTCAAAGGACCAGAAGAAAATCAAGAAGTAACCATTAGTAAGCAGGTGTAACCAGGAAAGGTTTGTGATTGTAAACATTATGTCATCATACCAAATATTTTGTTCAGTGATTGATTTGGACCATTCATTTATCCTTCTTGATATTAAAACCGTGTGGTAAGAGAAATAATAAAACTGAATCTATGTGCTGTCTGCTAATAATGGATATATCCTATTTAAATCCCGGTATCTGAATCATTGCAGTCTAGTGGTAAAGTGTATTTGCTTTGCTTTAGCGTTATTTCTTTAGTGGTAAATTGTATTTGCTCTGTTGTAAACAAATAAAAAACATAAACTGCTTTTAACAAATGACAAAAGGCATAGTATTCTTGGTTCAGCTTACTTGTTGTTACTGGAGGAGTAGTAGTAGTAGTAGTGGCCTGAGTCGTGGTTGTTGTTGGAGTTGCTGTCATAAAAAAAACAAAAAAAACAATGCATTACTATATTTGGGAATCAGAAGTTAAGCATGCTAATTAAAATAGACTGAGAGTCATTTAGGAATTACACCTGCCTGCCTCAAGACCAAGTAAAACCAGACTAAAATGTGCACTCATGTTGTATATACTATAGAGACCATGACATGCTTTGTCTCCTCTTAATGTAAATGTGAAAGTCCTAGAGCCATGATAAAAACAAACTTGCATTTATTTGAAGGCAGTAACCTAAAACCGTTTGAAGAAAAACCCGGTTAGCTCTGAAAACTCCCTGAAAAATATTTGCTCAGTGTATCAAGTAGTAACCTATAGGTAAAAAGTGTGATCCACTGGTATGATTTACCATGATTTCCAATGCTGTTTCTAGGCTGTACTTTTCCCACTAACTTCTAGCTTGGGCAATAGTTTTGATTTATACTTAATGCACATGCTATCTACCAACTTTGCGCTATTTTACCATAACAATGCAATTTAATACTTGATGCTGTACTCCTTTACCACCAAGTGATGAATACATGTGACTCATGGTGTCCGGGAAAACATGGCAGTATAATGATTAAAGGGATATAAAGTTGAACTGAGGTTGTGTCAGGTTATCAAACTGGCTTACAGCTACCCAACCAGATCAAAGATTAAGGATTGTACACCTTTTTATGTAAAACTTGTGCCAAATATTTTGGTGGACGATTGATTTGGACCTATTTTATCCCATGACTCTAAAACAGTTTAGTTTGAGAGATAATAATACTGAATCTAATTACCCTCTACCAGTAACAGAATTATGTTATTCAAGTCCTGGAGTCTGAATGAAAGTGATATGATATTTCTCTAATGGTTAATTGTACTTGTTCTGCTGTTAATTTATGAAAAATATACTTTCTTAATAAATGAAAGGAGTAGGATTTTGGATTTAACTTACTTGTCGTAACTGGGCCAGTAGTAGTTGTGGTCTGAGTGGTGGTTGTCAATGGAGTTGCTGCAGATAAATAGTAATGAATGACCATATTTAGAAAACAGAAGTTGAGCATGCCAAATTCAACAGACAGAAATCAGAACAAGTAGTCAAAAAAAGTCAAAGGACCAGAAGAAAATCAAGAAGTAACCATTAGTAAGCAGGTGTAACCAGGAAAGGTTTGTGATTGTAAACAATATGTCATCATACCAAATATTTTGTTCAGTGATTGATTTGGACCATTTATTTATCCTTTTTGATATTAAAACCGTGTGGTAAGAGAAATAATAAAACTGAATCTATGTGCTGTCTGCTAATAATGGATATATCCTATTTAAATCCCGGTATCTGAATCATTGCAGTCTAGTGGTAAAGTGTATTTGCTTTGCTTTAGCGTTATTTCTTTAGTGGTAAATTGTATTTGCTCTGTTGTAAACAAATAAAAAACATAAACTGCTTTTAACAAATGACAAAAGGCATAGTATTCTTGGTTCAGCTTACTTGTTGTTACTGGAGGAGTAGTAGTAGTAGTGGCCTGAGTCGTGGTTGTTGTTGGAGTTGCTGTCATAAAAAAAACAAAAAAAACAATGCATTACTATATTTGGGAATCAGAAGTTAAGCATGCTAATTAAAATAGACTGAGAGTCATTTAGGAATTACACCTGCCTGCCTCAAGACCAAGTAAAACCAGACTAAAATGTGCACTCATGTTGTATATACTATAGAGACCATGACATGCTTTGTCTCCTCTTAATGTAAATGTGAAAGTCCTAGAGCCATGATAAAAACAAACTTGCATTTATTTGAAGGCAGTAACCTAAAACCGTTTGAAGAAAAACCCGGTTAGCTCTGAAAACTCCCTGAAAAATATTTGCTCAGTGTATCAAGTAGTAACCTATAGGTAAAAAGTGTGATCCACTGGTATGATTTACCATGATTTCCAATGCTGTTTCTAGGCTGTACTTTTCCCACTAACTTCTAGCTTGGGCAATAGTTTTGATTTATACTTAATGCACATGCTATCTACCAACTTTGCGCTATTTTACCATAACAATGCAATTTAATACTTGATGCTGTACTCCTTTACCACCAAGTGATGAATACATGTGACTCATGGTGTCCGGGAAAACATGGCAGTATAATGATTAAAGGGATATAAAGTTGAACTGAGGTTGTGTCAGGTTATCAAACTGGCTTACAGCTACCCAACCAGATCAAAGATTAAGGATTGTACACCTTTTTATGTAAAACTTGTGCCAAATATTTTGGTGGACGATTGATTTGGACCTATTTTATCCCATGACTCTAAAACAGTTTAGTTTGAGAGATAATAATACTGAATCTAATTACCCTCTACCAGTAACAGAATTATGTTATTCAAGTCCTGGAGTCTGAATGAAAGTGATATGATATTTCTCTAATGGTTAATTGTACTTGTTCTGCTGTTAATTTATGAAAAATATACTTTCTTAATAAATGAAAGGAGTAGGATTTTGGATTTAACTTACTTGTCGTAACTGGGCCAGTAGTAGTTGTGGTCTGAGTGGTGGTTGTCAATGGAGTTGCTGCAGATAAAAAGCAATGAATGACCATATTTAGAGAACAAAAGTTGAGCATGCCAAATTTAACAGACAGAAATCAGATCAAGTAGTCAAAAAAAGTCAAAGGACCAGAAGAAAATCAAGAAGTAACCATTAGCAAGCAGGTGTAACCAGGAAAGGTTTGTGATTGTAAACATTATGTCATCATACCAAATATTTTGTTGAGTGATTGATTTGGACCATTCATTTATCCTTCTTGATATTAAAACAGTGTGGTAAGAGAAATAATAAAACTGAATCTAAGTGCTGTCTGCTAATAATGGATATATCCTATTTAAATCCCGGTGTCTGAATCATTACAGTCTAGTGGTAAAGTGTATTTGCTTTGCTTTTGCGTTATTTCTTTAGTGGTAAATTGTATTTGCTCTGTTGTAAACAAATAAAAAACATATACTGCTTTTAACAAATGACAAAAGGCATAGTATTCTTGGTTCAGCTTACTTGTTGTTCCTGGAGCAGTAGTAGTAGTAGTGGCCTGAGTCGTGGTTGTTGTTGGAGTTGCTGTCATAAAACAAAAAAACAATGGATTACTATATTTGGGAAACAGAAGTTAAGCATGCCAATTAAAATAGACTGAGAGTCAGTTAGGAATTACACCTGCCTGCCTCAAGACCAAGTAAAACCAGACTAAAATGTGCACTCATGTTGTATATACTATAGAGACCATGACATGCTTTGTCTCCTCTTAATGTAAATGTGAAAGTCCTAGGACCATGAGAAAAACAAACTTGCATTTATTTGAAGGCAGTAACCTAAAACCTTTTGAAGAAAAACCTGGTTAGCTCTGAAAACTCCCTGAAAAGTATTTGCTCAGTGTAACAAGTAGTAACCCATAGGTAAAAAGTGTGATCCACTGGTATGATTTACCATGATTTCCAATGCTGTTTCTAGGCTGTACTTTTCCCCCTAACCTCTAGCTTGGACTATAGTTTTGATTTATACTTACTGCACATGCTATCTACCAACTTTGCACTATATTACCAATAATGCAACAATGTAATTTACTATGTAATGCTTTACTCTTCTTACAGAATTATGTTATTCAAGTCCTGGAGTCTGAATGAAAGTGATCTGATATTTCTCTAGTGGTTATTTGTACTTGTTCTGCTATTAACCAATAAAAAACATACTTTTTAACATATGACAAAAGGTGTAGTATTTTGGAATTAACTTACTTTTTGTAACTGGGGCAGTAGTAGTTGTGCTCTCAGCTTTGGTCTTAGCCATGGTTTTCAGGGTAGGTGGTTTAGCTGAAAAAAAAAAAGAATGGATGACTATATTCAGGAAACAGAGGTAACACATGCCAAATACAATTGACTGAAAGTTAGTAAGTGAATATACCTGCCTCAAAGTTTAGTAAAACCATGCTAAAATGAGGACTCATGTTTTATTTCTTTTCAGAGAGGGCAAGACATGCCTATTCTCCTACTCATGTAAACATACAGGTAACAAAATGTAAAAGTCCTACGACCATCTGATTCTATTAAAAGGCATACAATTCTGGATTCGACTAACTTGTTGTTATCAAACTGGCTTTCAATTTCCTGTACAGAACAAGGGGCTCTATTTTCGTGTACGCCGGTGAAGCGGCGGAGGGTGGCAGACCCCGCGTAGTTGTATTTTCGTCTGTCCGAGCCCGGCGTACAGCCAGTTTGGTATTTTCGTGGACTGAGGCGCACGGAGGCGAACCGAGATCCCCCAAGCTGGGCGTGGTGGCGTGGCAGGGGGAGGTGTCGACAAAATCAGTGGGCGCAGTGACATTTTCGTGCTCGCCAGTGGCGTGTAAACTGCGCTGAAAGCTTGGTGATTCAAACCTGGTCAGCTTTCAGCGCAGGTGGAGTGCAGCTGGTCTAGTGGTATCTTGGTAGACCAGCGTCGTATCAGCATACATCACCGATGCCTCACCGGCAGGTTTCCACAGTGTCAGGCACATTTCAGTGCAATAAATAATCAACAACAACTATTAATCTGAGTCAGCACATACATTTAGATCTATATAGATATATTCTGATCTATATCTGATCTGATGAGCTTGTTTGGCACGCGTTTGGACACACAACCTGACCGAATCAACACAGCTGAAAACGCATTAAATTAAATTAAATATCTAGTAAATAGATGAATGGAAACACATGATGAAGTTAACAAGATATTTAATTTGTCTCCCTCCTTTTCTTTCTTCCTCTTCCTCTTATTTCTCGCGCAGCTCGACCTGGACATGTCTCTGTGTCCTCTCTCCGTCCTGCTGCAGCTGAACAAATGATTTGTTTCAGTGATCAGATGAGTTATTTACTTTAAGCCTACAAACCAATATTATAACATTCAGTATTGTGAGCCAAATTATTTTATATGCCAACATCTATTAAAGAAAGAGCCAAGCCACGGAGCGCGATGCGTCATTTACACACAGATGGTTCCGATTTTAATGCCATTTTTGAAGTTTATGTTGTGATCTGTGCGCTCAACCCACCTTTGTCACGTGAGGTTTGAATATATGCAACTTTATGTGAGTGTCTTTATTTGTGGAAAAGGGTGTTTGTCTTACTAGTGGGTCCAACATTACACACACCAAATCCATCTGTGCTCATATGAGAGAGCGTGAAGGACGCCCAATGCAGCGCTTACAGTGACACTTGTTGAGGAGCTGCCTTCTGTCGCCATCGTGTGGCATTGCTGTCTTAAGACATCTCTTGATCTCTTTGACTACTTCATGAAAATAGTAATACGCCTTGCCGGTGGCGGATTTAAGGAGCTTATGTGATTGGTGAGAACAGGTCTCGGCTGTGTTAAACCCACTCCACACCCTTTCTCCTCCCTCACTACGACTTACGCCCCTGGGAGGAGCTGAGTTAGGGAGGGGGGATACTTACGCCGGGCTGCGCCGCTCACCAAAATACCAAATTGTGCTTGGGAACGCCTTGTCGGCGTGACGGACCTGACTTACGCCACGCCTGCGGCACGTATCCGGCGAGGCACGAAAATAGAGCCCATAGACTCTAGGGCCTAGAGTCTGAATGATGGCAGTCTCTTTCTCTATTGGTTAATTGTACTTGCTCTGCTATTAACCAATACCTAACCTGAGCAACTGACATAAGGAGTGGAATTTTGAATTAAGCTTACTTGTTTTAACTGCGGCAGTAGTAGTTGAAGTCTCAGTGGTGGTTGTCCATGTATATGCTGAAGCCAAAAAAGAAAAGAGTACTATATTTCAGAAACAGAGGTAACGCATGAAAACTCCCTGAAAAATATTTGAAAAATAGTAACTCAAAGGTAGAAACTGTGATCCACTGGAATGATGCACTATGATTTCCAATGTTCTCTCTAGGCTGTACTTTTCCCACCCGCCACTAGCTGGGGCTATAGTTTTTGATTTATACTTGCTGCATATGCTACCTGCCAACTTGGCTCTACTAAACCATAATAATGCGATATTAAACTAGATGCCTTATTCCTTCTATACAAAGTTATGAATGCACATGACATATGATATCTGGCCAGTTTGACTGTGTATCTCAGGGATATAAAGTGTAATGGATATTGTGTCAGGTTATCAAGCTGGCTAACAACTACCTGACAAAGATATAGGAATTTCTATTCTTATTATCTATCTTATTTACTTACTTATTATTATATACCAAATATTTTGTGAAGTAATTGATTTAGACATTGAGTTTAATCCTCTTTGTTATTAAAACACTGTGGCAAGAGAAGTGATAAAACCAAATCTAATCACTGTCTGCCAACAACAAAATTATCTTAGTCAAGTCCTGGAGGCTGAATAATAGTGATCTGTTATTTTTTAAGAGGTAAATTGTATTTGCTGTGCTGTAAATTAATAAGAATATTTCTTTTTGAACAAATGACAAAAGGCGTAGTATTTTGGATTCAACTTATTTGTTGTAAATGGGGGGATAGTGGTAGTTGTGACATACTATTCTGGATTTGACTTACTTGTTGTTACTGGGGTAGTTGTGGTCTGAGTGGTGGTTGTCCACTGAGTTGCTGTATTTAAAAAGGAATGAATGACTATATTTAGGAAACAGAAGTTAAGCATGCCAAATACAATAGACTGAAAGTCAGTTAGTGAATACACCTGCCTCAAGACCAAGCAAAACCAGACTTACCACTCCTTCTAATTTAAATGTACAAGTCAATTTTAATTTTGCAAGTTCTAGAACCATCAGGGAATCAAACTAGCATTCATTAGCAAGCAGTGTCCTAAAACATTTTTAAAAATGCACATATGGATCTGTCCTTAAAACCTCATGAAAATTATTTGCTTAGTGTTAAAAGTAGTTACCCATAGGTAAAAAGTGTGATCCACTGGTATGATTTACCATGATTTCCAATGTTGTTTCTAGGCTGTACTTTTCCCATCCACCCACCAGCTGGGGCTGTTGTTTTGAGTAATTGATTAATACTTACTGCATATGCTACCTACCTGGCATTATGCATTATTATGCTATGATAATGCGTGATAATGCATGATGCAAAATTAAACAAGCAAAAAAGTGGGTCAGTGATTAAGCATACAGTGTATGTTTACATTTCTTAATGATACACTTGTCACAAAGTTGACAGAAGAAATAGACGTTTGATATGCTGCTATAATGAGTAGATGAAGAGCCAGTTAACTTTTTCTGCCAAGAGAGCAGGATTTTGAATCTGCTGTTGCTGTTAAATAATATCACAATATGTTTATGATGTTTAAGGAGAAAGAATAAAAACTGGAGGCATGTGTGTCACAGTTTATCTTGAGTTGCATTAAACCGTGGCACTGCATGTGTGGAATTACTGTCACTGCAGAATTATACTGTAATCTTGTGATAATTAATATAATCCTTTGACATATATGCATGTTTGGCTAAATAAATGTTTAAACAATGCAAAAGGCTATAACCTGATGTCATACACCAACATAATAATAATATTTCAATACTAACATTAGGACACAAAAACTATGTCAAATTACTTAAATGTAAATTTTGAAAACAATACATAAAGCACGATTTAATCAAGAGTTTTCATCACTTACCCATTATTCCAAAAAGCAGCATGGTTACCATGATTTGAGTTGCCATTCTCCAAAGCCCAGATATAATACCTGTTGATATTAATATCATTAAAACACACAAAAAATAAATTAATGGAATGAATTTAAAAAATTTAAAAAATTTAAAAAATACGTAGAACAGTAATTTATATCTTATTATATATTATATCTTTTTAGCACAGTAATGCAAAGGCGTTATCTGCCCAACCATTAGCACATCTTTATAAATTGTAATTTTATGGAATCTTATTTCTGCAAATTAGTTTTTGTTTTTTTTCCTGCTTTACAACTGCAATCTGCACCTTAAAAGTCACTCTTTCTTTCAATAAGCCTACTTTTCTGAGAAATTGACATTGTACCTCCAAGAATAAAGCAACGCCTTTTTTCATGACATATGGCAGGTGATAAGATGAAAAAGCATTATTTTTACAGTCAGTAGATATTATAGATATTAAGAAATCTATGAAATCAAATATAATTATAAGACAGTTGTTTGACATGAAAATGAAACCGCACTCACCGAATAAATATGTTTAAAATGTTTGACTGAAAATATGCACCTTTCTTTTAAGAAATGTTGTCATTGCACTGCATAGTTTAAAAAAAAAAAAGGTTAAAACTGCTCTACAGAATCTTAATTACCTGTTTGTGCTTCTCTGGCTGATTTGACTCATCTAAGGGATGCTGTGCAGCTAACAGGCTTTATATGTACCAGCTGGCACAGATCCGTAGATGCAGGTGCAAAGTGCAGGTGTGGTATGTAGTTAAACCAGAATTGATTCCTCCGAACAGGTCATGATGTTTTTTTTTTTTTTTGGTTTAATACTTATGGCTGCTTAGCAAAAACTAAAAGGACTTAAGAATAACTTTATTGATCCCCAAAGGGAAATTCAATCATCTGTTGTCTCATATATTATATCTATAAAAATTATCTATTATTTACATAAAAGTTATCAAGCCTGATGGCTATTGGTACAAAAGATCTTCTGAATCTTTCTGTCCTTGTTAAGATGTCTTGCATCTTTGTGTCCTTGTTAAGATGTCTTGCATCTTTGTGTCTGATGCTTCCTCCCCAGCAGACTGCAACATAGAACAGCACACTTGCTACCACAGACTGATAAAACATCTGAAGCATCTTGCTACAGATGTCTATTGATCGGAGTCTTCTCAGACAATTTTATTTATATGGCACTTTTCATACCAAAAAAATGCAATTCAAAGTGCCTCACAGAGGCTAAAAATGGTTAACCTTTCTCTCTCTACGGGTGTGTTTCCCAATAGCTTTAAGCATGCCATAGTGGAGCCTTTACTCAAAAAGACAGGCTTAGACCCGACTGTCCTAAGCAATTTCAGGCCTATTTCTAAGCTGCCATTCTTGTCAAAGATCCTAGAGAAAGTGGTCGCTGAACAGCTGTCACTTTTCCTGGATCAATGTAACAGCCATGAGACGTTTCAGTCTGGCTTTCGCAAACATCACTCTACGGAGACAGCCTTGCTGAAAGTGTCCAGTGACATCATGATGTCTGCTGACTCAGGAAAATACACTGTTCTAGTTCTCTTAGATCTGTCCTCAGCCTTTGACACCGTCGACCACCAGATCCTGCTGAGAAGATTGAGGGATGAAATAGGACTGTCAGGGTCAGTTCTACATTGGTTCTCGTCATACCTCTCTGGGCGTAGTTTTACTGTCACAGCAAACCAAATTAGTTCCGAGCCAGCAGATCTGCTGTGTGGAGTCCCCCAAGGCTCAGTTTTGGGTCCTGTTCTCTTTCTTTTATATTTGATCCCCCTGGGTAAAATCATCCGCAGATTTTCTGATGTTTCATACCACATTTTTGCTGATGATATTCAGTTGTACTGTTCATTCAAACCTACTGAGCTCCATAGGCTAAATTCCTTAGTCCACTGTTTAGCAGAGATTAAAAAATGGCTAAGTGATAACACCTTGCAGCTAAATGTGGACAAAACAGAAACACTGATTATTGCCCCTGATGACTCCATTCCAGGGATTAGTCAGTACCTAGGCGACTTGGGCCGGTCTGTTAAACCGAGCCTAAGAAACCTGGGTGTTGTTTTCGACAAAGACATGTCATTAATGCAACACTGTAATCAGCTGACTAAAAATTGCTTCTTTCAACTTAGGAACATCTCCAAACTTAGAAAAATGGTGTCACATAATGAGTTGGAACTGATTATTCATGCATTTGTGTCTTCACGATTAGACTATTGTAATAGTCTGTTTTCCTGTATGAACAAAAAGGAGCTGTCTCGCCTGCAGTTAATACAAAACTCTGCAGCGAGAATTCTGACCCGCTCCAATAGGAGGTCACACATATCCCTGATTCTTAAAACCCTCCATTGGCTGCCTGTTTCTTTTAGGATAAATTTTAAAATTCTGGTTTTAACTTTCAGAGCCTTGCATGGTCAGGCTCCAATCTACATCAATGACCTGATCCAGCCTTACACCCCAGCCCGGGTTCTGAGGTCTGTGGGTCAGAATCTTTTGATGGTGCCTCATACACATTTCCGGACCAGAGGAGACCGATCGTTCCAGGCTGTTGCTCCCAAGCTCTGGAACGATCTTCCGCCTGCTCTGCGGTTGATGGAGTCTGTTGACTCCTTCAAAAGGGAACTAAAGACCTTTTTATTTGTTCAGGCTTTTCCTTAACTGTCTTGGGGCTGCTATGGTTGCTATAGTGTTGTTTTTAGCCTTTTAAATTTTAGCTTTGTATGATTTTATTAACTGTGTATTGTTTTTGCTCTTGTTTTTATTGTAAAGCGCTTTGTGACCTTGGTCTGCGAAAGGCGCTGTATAAATAAAGTTTACTTACTTACTTACTTACTAAAAACAACAATAATGACAATAAAACCCAACCCTCCCATCCACACACACACATCCATGAACCCACACGTACACAAAGACACACACACACACAACCGCACACAGTGTGAGAATTTAAGATATATTGCTAGAGAGACATGGTCTGACACCGAGACATTAGGTGAGTAAAGAGCCACCTCTGGGAAACACTGGAGATAAAAGTAGAGATAAAAATGGCGAAAAGAGTAAAACCTGATGGGCTAAAACAAGAAAATAATATTAGTTGAACAGATAAGTAAAAAGTAAAAGTTCTTTACCATATAAAAAGGGGGTAAACGAAGTAAAAACCTGTGGCGGGAATAAAGAAAAAGACTAAAAACAGAGATAATTAATGGAATGACATAAGATAAACATTAAGAACTTTGATTAACATTTGCAATAAGAGAAATATAAAAAAAAGAAGTAGAAGTTGTAGTGGAGATTCGTTGCAGAGAGGAAGATGGAGTAGCAGTGGAAGTGGGAGTGACAGCAGTGTCAAATCTGTTGAAGAACAGGTTGAGTTCATCAGCTCTTTTCACATCACCCACCATTGGCTATCTTTTCTTTTGACTGCTGTGTCCAGAGATGGTACTGATTTCTCTCCACACTTCACGAATGTTTCTGATTCTTCTCTATCTTCTTTTTGTACTCCAGCTTTGCTATCTTCAGTCTCCTCTTCAACTCTTGTTGCACTCGTTTGAGTTGTTCTTTGTCACCATCTTTAAAAGCTTTCTTTTTCTGGTTAAGGATTGCTTTTATGTCTCTCGTGTCCAGGATTTGTTGTTGGGGAAACAGCGAACAGTCTTTTTGGGTATAACTGTGTCTCTACAGAAAATGACATAATCAGTAAAGCAGTCAACCTGTTTGTCAATGTTCATACTATCCACATCTATTTCCAGCAGCACATTCCAGTCTGTTGATTTGAAACGGTCCCTTAGAGCTTCACTGGCTTGAGGTGTCCATCTTCTGATTTTGACTTTGGTCACAGGCTGCCTCAGTACACAAGGTCTGTAACAGGTTTGCAGATGGACCAAGTTATGATCTTACTTGCCCAGTGGTGGTAAGGCAGTGGCTCTGTAGGCTTCTTTGACATTGGCATACAGCAGATCCAGGGTCTTGTTTTCTCTGGTAGGACAGTTCACAAACTGTGTGAATCCAGTCAGGTGAGAGGAGAGGGTGACATGGTTGAAGTCTCCCGATATTATTATTAGTGCCTCAGGGTGTTGAGTCTGTAGCCTGGCAACACTATTTTGCAAAACACTGCAACATTCTTCAGTTGATTTGGGTGGAATGTAAACAACTACTGTTATGATATGACTAAATTCTCTTGGAACATTATTTGGCCGAAGAGCAACTGCCAACAGTTCAATATCTGGACAACACAACTTCTCCTTGACAGTTATGTGTGAAGGGTTACACCATCTCTGGTTGACAAATAAAGCCAGACCTCCTCCTTTCTTCTTGCCACTAGCTTGAGCATCTCTGTCTGACCTTATGAGAGTGAAGCCAGGTAGATCCACACTGGAGTCCGAGTTGTTTTGATTCAGCCAGGTTTCAGTAAAACACAGGAAGCTGCTCTCACGGTATGCTTTCTCAGTCTTCACCAATATCTCCAGCTCATCGCTTTTTTTGGGCAGAGAGTTGACGTTTCCCATGATGATTGATGGAAGAAAGGGTTCATATCACCACCTCTTAGCATTCAGCTTTGCCTTCACCTTTGCACCAGCACGGCAACCACGATAACACCTCCTGATGTCCTCTGGAATGTATGTTGTTGTTCAGATTTGCTTTTCCTCAATAAAAGGAGCTCTTCTCTTGAGTAAACTCTTCGCCCAGCAGAAGTATCCATCAGCAGCCAACAAAATTACAACAAATATATGAAAAAAATCTAACAAAAATTTTAAAAATTACAGATAATACAGAGGGACCAGACTTGCAGCAACCTCTCGATTCAAGCGCATCATTTGAATCACTTTTACATAATTCAAAGACATACTATTAATATTGTGGGTTTTATTATGCCTTTATCGTTTCATTTGTGGTTTATCGAGCCACCAGATTGGTTTTTGTTTGTTATACATAAAAGTATATTTTATCATAAAGAGTCAAGCCAAACAAAAAGAATAATTCAATATCTTCATTGAAAAAATGTAAAATTGATCCATGTT